GTAGCAATATTACTGACAAAAAATACACGCTTTGAATCGTACCTTACCCACACAGTCACACAGAGTTGTTGAAGCTTCAGTTGATTCTGCTGATGTGGCTATCTGATGTCACATCGCGTGCTTTTTCATCTTGTTTATGACGCTTAGGTTCGTCTCACCAGTCTTTTAGCATTCTCTACTGGGTGGTCACAGTTATGATTGACAGAATGACACAGTATGACGTATGCGGATGTGTCATGTTGTATGTATTCTACAAGTATAACCATGAACATTTCTGTTTACAATATTTTTAAGGAGGATTTGGATTATAACATATTTACTTTAAGTTACTAAACTGTAATTTGTTTTAGTGTTATCTCCTGATAAGTACAAAAGCAAATATTCCGCTGGAATCATGTATATGCTTCTTTCAAGAGAGGGAGTTAGTCTAAAGAGGGGACAGTCATTCGATTCGATGGATTATTTACCTAATATTAGCATTTGAGGGCTGCTGTGTATAAATTACTACACTGAATTAGCTGAAAAGTATGCGTTAGCGACGTATGCTGAATTTGATATGCCATTATTTAAACCAGTATTAACACCTTGGCTACTATTTCGACATTGGCTGTTAATATTATTGATTTAGCTAACTGGTAAGCAGACGTCCAAAACTAGTACAGAATGGCTGAACTTTGTTTATATTACTTGCTGACATATGTATGATGTGTCTCTACTCTCAATACAGCGAATCTGCTCACAACTAACTCTGTGACGGCCACGTCACATGTTCTATTTAACACTGTGATTTTTAAAAACAATAATTCTGCATTTGCAAATAACAGATAATATGGTTGAAAATACAAATATAATGCGGTGAGTTCTCTTCTACAAAATGGAGAGACTAAATACCCATCCCGTGTGAATTGGTTTGCTATAATATACATACAATTGTTTATATAATAATACTGGTAGTCACGACATGTTTCAAAACAACATTTCATTTGAAATCTTTAGATGAAACCAGAGGGATAGTCCAATCATTCTAGCAAAAAAGGGGGCCAAACCGTCACAAATTACAACAAAAATAATTTCATCACAGTGCTTTTCGGAAAGGTATCTAGATTGACATACTAAAAGTCTAGGAAAATCTAGGCTTCCGATATATACCTAATTTGCATATATTCAAAATGGCCGTTTTGCACATTTTTACAACATGGAAATATAACTATTTGGACATATCTTTAATTCTAGATGAGGTATTTTAAAAATTCATGATGCTATGGTACTGTTTTGAGGCGGAGAATGAGAGTGCGAAATGTGTTGATTTGGTAGATGAAAATTAGCATAAATCCAATATGGCCGCGATAATATATTTATTTAATGTAACTTCTCTTCCGGCTTCTCTTCTATGTGGCATAAGTAATAAATTTAAGATGCGAGAATACAATTTTAAACAAAATATGTAAATAAATATGTAAATTGGTTTCTTTGGTAGACGGATGCTTCATCTGAATAAATCCAACATGGCCGTCACATCTAAAAAAACTAGAGGAATGAAACACCTTGGACGGATCTACAAATCTGCTATACTATATTCATAATAGACCATTTAAACGTAAATTTTCAACTTTATAAACTATATTTTTTGAATTAACAAACTGTATTTAATAGTTCTGTTCTAAATAATTCTGTCCAAAAGTTTATTGTTTGATTAATGTAATTGCTAATCGTCATCGCTATCTTCATCAGATATCTGAACTACATTTGTGCATCCAGATCCTCGACATTTACCACAAACTGCAGAACATTCAAGGTTGTGCTTTCTGCAGGTACATCTGAGACTGCGACAGTATGTGGAGCAGTTGCATCTCACTATCCTCGCGAGAAATTCAGGTGCTGCCTCCTTGTCAGTCATTACAGGAATGATGATAGGTTGTGAATCGCATTCCTGGGATTTGCTTCCTGGCGAGAAATCCGATTCGTGTCTTTATCATCGACTTCATTGTCCATAAAGGCGACACACCCGTCTGAGAAGGACGCCCCTAGTTCAGCCCGACGCCTACCTGAGGCAAGGGTGAGTAGGAAGACTGTTTTCCACGTCAAGTGGTGCTGATCGTAGAGGTTCAAAGGGCTGCTTAGAGCGGCCAACACAACCGATAAGTTCGAATTGGTTGGTTCCCTCATTCAGGGTCTAGGCCTCTGATTAAACAGTAAACAATGGTAGGACAACAGGCTAGCCTCGTCCCCAGAGAATCCCAATGGTTGACCTATAGCTAACAATCGCTGAAAGAACAAGTCCATTTCGTTCAAACGATGGATGAAAAGTCAGCTGTCTGGCCAACAAAGGGATGGCAAGGATCTCCCTTCCACTACACCTCAGTGTACGCACGTCATTTCGAGACGTAGGCTGTGTTGGTGGGATCTCTGTTCGCCCTGACCAGGACGTTGGCAGCCCACTCAGAAAAGTGAATCAA